TGTCATTGACCCACAAAAGACCAATAAACTATTGGAAACCATCTTGGAAGGGATTGGAAACAACACACATGTTATTGTACTGTTGTCCAAACTGTCTTCATGTCTGCTGATAAGTGTTTCTCAAGAGAGATGTGTGAGAGGTTCCAGAGTGAAGGCTACAGGGCCACTAACTCAATCTGCACAGGGGCAGGCGGATCATATAAATAACATAAGCGGTGGCTGCAGGAATCTGTGCACAATGCTTTGCAAGGTGGAGGCTCTTCCCAAATCCAGCCCTTTGTGGCTCTGCAGAACCAGCCTCATGCTGCCAGCTCTTCTGATTTTTTTTTCTCAGAGATCAAAAATTCAGTTGGGAATAATCTCTTATTTTCCAACTGTTGACAATTAATTCCAATGTACAAAACACACACACACACACACACACACACACACACACACACACACACACAACCTAAGCTGTTTGGGCCAACACAAAACAGGTCTCTAGATGGATTTGTATCTCAAAGCTTCCAATTCGCAATCTCTGTATTAAAGAGAGACTTCTGAATGTATAGAGGCAGAAAGTTTTCGAACGTCTCATAGTTAAAGACAAGAATTGAGAGATGACATAATTTTAATTTTCTGTGATATCTTGAGTCATTCAAAAGAAAAAGAATTTTGGCATCAAAAATTATTTATTCGTGCATGTCACTGATGTCACCTCCAGAAAAGAAAACTTTGCTGGGAGAGAGCTTAGTGTCACTGGTTGTGAAAAATCTACCCCCTGGAGCCGTAATAGTTCTGAGCATTTCCTGAGTATTTAAGCCAAGGCGTTGAAGCAGCTGGGTTCCCACCAGTTCTTATCAATCAAGGAGTTATTTTACAAATTGATAGGAACTGGAGATTTTTATTAATACCTGAAATGGTCCCTCGGGGGGAGGAGGGAACCGGAAAATGCTAATCTGAAATGCCAAAGGCATTCCCATGAGAAACAGTGAAAGACTGGTTTGAATAAAAATGGCAAATCACTCACAGAAGAAAGCATAACACACTCCAGTAGCACACACCCATCCATTACCTCATTAAACATTCCTTGAGAGAGGATGTGAATGTATAGATGCCTCCCATCTGGAAGTCAAATTGCCTCATCTGTTTTGATTAGGCTGGGAAGACCCCGATGGACCTGGTGTTACGCTGGCAGAATGGAACCAAAGCGATATTTGACAGCCTCAAAGAGAACTCCTACAAGACCTCTCGCATCGCTGCCTTCTAAGAGACATGACTGCGGGCTTTCTTCAGCTGCTCCTCACCGGTGGCGTTGGGAAGGCACGGCCCCAGAGAAGAGCAACTGTTATAAAACCCTGCTTCTCATCAACCTACGATCAGGCTGCACCTTAGGAAGTTTTGAGAAAGCATGGGGACATAGAAGCGACCCACTTTATTTATTTGTACCTATCCCTGTGTACTTATTTATTCTTAAGTGAACTCCACTATCACCGACACTCAGATTCTTTACGCTCATCTGCTTGGTGGGCAGAGCTTGATTCGTACACAATGCTCCGGAGCCTTCCCGTAGATAGCCCGTAAACCATGCCAATGAGCAGGGCTCGGTGGCTGCCTATGTGTCACCTCACTCACGTAGGGTATTTCAAGGTGTTTTTAAGAGACAAAGGTGATTATTGACGCCCTCTTTTCTCCTGAATTTTTACTGATGAAATCTGAGGCGATGGAAAAGCATAGAGTGAAGGAAACAGTACCATGGAAGAGGACAGGAAAGCCAGCCATTTCCTGGCTGGGCCCGGTATTCCTGACCAAGTCGCGCACTGTGCTAAGGGGAAGCGGATGTTGAGAGGGAGAGCGGAGTGCAGTGGAAGGAGTGGACAGTGGGGCAATGCAGAATGGGATTTGCTCAAAAAGATGAAAGCAAAGGCAAACTGTAAATGTGTAAATGTATCATACGTTGTATGTATATTTTATATTCATAATAAAAGCAAACACATTCTAAACCTCTTTCTAAATACTTCTGTACGTGAAAGGCCATTTAGATGGGGTGTTGTTGTTCCTCCAAGTTCATCAGAGTAGGACTGCCCTGTAGAACAGTATTCCTCAGTAGTTAACATGTATGTGGATCCCACGAGGATCTTAGAATGCAGATTCTGATTCTGTCAGGCTCAGACTGGACCTGAGGTTCTAGAGGTGGTGGTATGCCACAACCACACCTTGGCCTGCAAGGCTTGAAAACCACTGATACAAAGGCGTAAGTTCTTGCCTGGCCGTGGTGCTCAGTGGTTGAACATTGATAAACCTGGATTCCTGATCAGGGCTTACGCCCGGTTGCAGGCTTGATCCCTGGTGTGGACTGTGCAGGAGGCACTGATCAATGATTCTCTCATCATGGATGTTTCTATCTCTCTCTCCCTCTCTTAAGTGAATAGACACACACACACACACACACACACACACACACACACACACACACAGTTCTTTTGGCCCCAATGATGGGGGAAAGAGACCCCTGGTGGGCAGAATGTTTACTGCATGCTAAACAATGCTCCTTAAGAAGTTCCATCAGGAATGGACTGAGGTTTAACCATTATTGTGGACAGCTCTGGCAGTGTCAAAGGCCTCCAACAAAAAAACACACACCTGTTGAATAACTTCCTGCATACAAGGGTTTTGTTGCAAGGTGTTGGACCAGGTGCTAAGACCTGTGATGAGAAAATTCGATAAATACTAAGAAATAATCACAGAATCAAATTATTCCCATCGATTTTTTTTTAGCTAGTGGAAGGGAGGGATTAAGGGGTAGGGAGAGAGAGAAACATCAATGTGAGAAACATCGATTGTTTGCCTCTTTCACACATCCTGACAGGGACAGGGTATTGAATCTGCAACCCAGGGTACACGCTATTCTCATATTTATTTTTTCAAAACACCAAGTCTAAAAACCAAGCACATACACAAGCAAACAAAAACACATAAGACACTTTGTTTGGATTTTGTTAAATTCATTAAGTTTAGGGGAGAATTTGATGCATACTATCTCCTTATCCAAGAAAAAAAAGAATGTCTCCCTCCATGTATTCCAGTCTTCTTTAATTTCTCTTATTTTCATTTAGCAGTTTTCTTCATAGACATCCTACACATTTCTTAGTAATTTATGTCTTTATGAATAGGATCATCTTTTAAAATAGTATTTTATAAAGCACTAGATGCCCAGTGCATGAATTCATGCACCAGTGGGGTACTTTGGCCTGGCCTGCAAAATACGGCCAAAAACGGCTCTCTGACATCCCTTAAGGGGTCCTAGATTGCGAGAGGGTGCAGATCAGGCTGAGAGATTCCACTGGTGCACCATCGGGGCCAGGGAGGGGCATGGGAAGTTGGCCAGCCAGGGAGGGACCACAGGAGGCCTCCAGGGCATATCCAGCCCATCTCACTCAGTCCCAATTGGCTGGACCCCAGCAGCAAGCTAACCTACCAGTTGGAGTGTCTGCCCCCTGGTGGTCAGTGCACATCATAGGGAGCAGTTGAGTGGCCTTAGCATATCATTAGCATATTATGCTTTGATTGAACAGCCAACCAGTCAACCAGAAACTTAGCATATTAGGCTTTTATTATATAAGATTATTGTTAATTAAAACTATTAGCTTCTGTGTATTTATTTTATAACTGACTTCTTTGCTGAACTTTTATTAAAGGTAGTATGGGTCATTCTGTTTCAACTGAATCAGTAGTGGTTCATGTTCTAACAAAAGCACACATCAGAAGAAACCCACTGGCTGCTATCACTGGTGACCAACCATCATGCCCTAGTAATTTGAATGAGATAAGCACATATTCCTAAATAGAAAGTGGCACAACTGTAAACATATAACAGATTTGTAAACTAAAAAGGACGTGTATTTCTAATCTTCTCCCAGTTGCTTCTCTCGTTTTTCAAAGGCAGTCATATCTGCAATAACTTTACCCATTAAAGTCCTCAATACTGTATCAATTGACACACACACACACACACACACACACACACACACACGTGAGCTGAAAAGCAGATTAAGCATGGCACACACAAAAAAGTTGACTATACATCCCATTAAACATTTCACTTCAGTGTAAATTGTAGAGATCTACACTCACGTGTGCCAATCTTTTAAAGAAAGGTCAAAGCCTGTTCTTGGGAGTAGATGCACTGATGAGAGATCCACAGCTGCCCTTTCAGTTTCAGTCTCTTTAAAGAAGAAGGAGAACTTAAGACTCCAGTAAAGCAGGCCAAGTGCAGATTTTTTACTGGATCTCCCCCAAATCTTAGCTATCCCGCTCACACCTTTTTTTGACAGCACTTCTCTTCTTCAAACCTTTCAAAAGCATCAACTTTCATGTTCCTGGAATTTTTTTTTTTCCCCCCTCATAGTTCATTATAATTTTTAACCAAGTTATATAATTTTACAATGCTAACGACAATGACACAAGGACTCGTGAATAAACACACACCTAACTTTTGGTGAATCCATGAGGGGTGTGGGCAGAAGCAAGCTGTCACTCGGGTGGTAGACTCCTGGTGAGGGCATTCAGTAGCAGTGGCCACCAGCTTTGTGGAGCAGGCTAATCCATCAAACTGCACAAGCGGAAGTCAGTCAAAATGCTTTATTTTAGAACCATCACGTTTAATATATACAATATATAAATACATATCAACATATATATACATATGTGTGCACAAAATAGTCGTTTACTTCTATTTGCCCAAGGTTTTTTATTGTTACTTAATTTTAAAATCTGGAGTTAAAATTTTAGCAAATGTCTTGCTAGCATCTATTAAGATGATCCTGACTTTTCTCATTTGACCTGTTGATATTATGTAGTACAGTAAATGTAAAAGAACTGAAATATTCTTAGGTTCCTAGAATCTCATCTTATCATGGTATACTCTATTTTGATGGTTTCCCTTTACCAATATTTTATAAGTATCTATATTCATAAATGAGGTTGATATAAAGCTTTCTTTCTGAAATAATCTTTTATCAGACTTATAGAAATATTTATATCAATATGGCAAAAGTGCAGATATTTGCAAAAAGGCTACCTTCACCAAATGCAGTCAAATCTTGGTTCTTAAACATCTCTCATCTTGAACAATTCTCTTCTTAATCCCAGACAATCCTTTCATACTATCAGATGCTATTTGATGACTTGTATAAGCATTCAGGTGTCTCTCTGGTGATAAGCACATGCTTGTATGAATCAGTTTACTGCTAACCTTCACATTGTCAATATCTCAGAAAATTGTGCTGTGAATATTATTGAGTTTTTTGCTTCTGTTGCTGCTCATTATTAAATTTTCGTTTTCTTACCCTCCATTTCATTTTTTTGTTAAATTTACATTTATATCATATTTGTTTTTAAAGTGTTTATTTATAGGTTAAATAGTACACTAGACATGAACTGTATATAAGAAAGGTTAAAACAGGGAATCATTTGGGGATCTAGAATGGATTAATTCAATTTACATTATTTTTAATGGGGAAAAAAAAAGATTTGGTTTTCAAATAACCTTTTAGAACGAATTAAGTTCTAGAATTGAGGTTCCACTGTATAATAATCCTGCTCTTAATTGCTTTGATATTCTTATTATAACTATTAGGAAAAACCAATATCAGGTTTCCAGGGGCTTCCACGTCAGAGGAGTGAACCCTCTCTCCAAGGACATCCCGGAGGTGAGAGGCAGCAGAGGAGGAGGCCAAGTGCGATCTCAGGTGCACTTCCCTCTCCTTCCACCAATTCTGTGGTAACTAGTCCTTTAGGAAGAACTTCGATCTGATGAATGCAATAAAAGAGAGGTCAACGAAAAGCCAATCCCTTAATATAAATTTTAATAGTCCTCAAAACTAATCACGTTTTGAGTAGTAAGGATAAAAATTAATGTATATCAAGTAAAGCAGCAAAGCATGAGTTTTTAAATGAACAAGAGTCTCTTGAAATATCGAAACATCTAATTTAATTATACCTGCCATTTTATCAGTTACACAAAGAATTTAAGCTAGACTCTGTTTTCTCTTACACTATCTCAAAATCCATTTAGCTCAGTCTTTTCTTAAGTGCTTCACCAGGTTTCTTTTATTAGTTTAAAGGCCTGAATATAAAATTGTTTTTAGAGACTACCGATTACTAGCTCCACGTGAAAACGGCAAATCGTGCAGAGGTTTGATTTCTGTTATGGCTGGTGGACTGTGAAAGGGAAGACGGGAGTGTCGCCAGAGCCTAGGAGTTTTCAGTCCTCACACTTGGCTTTTTTGGAAGCTGGAAGAGAATCATCATTTCCTTCTGATGGCCGTGGTTTCTTCACTGTGGAAATAATTCCAAAAGCAGTTTTCCTGGTTTCTACAAAACAAAGAAGAAAATCAGTGCTTGAAGTTCAGACATGATTTAAAGAGGTATATGTATATAGTTGAACAAGTATCACCATGCTGTTTTTTTAAAAAATATATATTTTATTGATTTTTTTTACATCAAGGAAGGGAGAGAGATAGCTAGAAACATCGATGATAGAAAGTCATAGATCAGCTGCCTCTTGCACGCCCCCTACTGGGGATGTGCCTGCAACCAATGTACAGGTTGGATTGACCGGAATCGAACCTGGGACCTTTCAGTCTGCAGGCTGATGCTCTATCCACTGAGCCAAAACGGTTTCGGCACCATATTGCTTTGACTGAAAGCACTAGTAAATGATTAAACCATCACAAAGTAGTGACTGCTGATGGCATTTAGTGTTATTACCCCTCCCCTGTTCCCTCACCTGTCCTATATACTAACATCAATATATCACCAACATCTAATTCATTCCTATGGATTACTTCAAGGGTAAAACTGCGAGCAGGTTATCTCTAATGGTTTGTCCATGGCATTTTATACAGCCAGAACACAAGTCACAGACCCTAGTGCAGCAGATGCTTTACATGTGGGAGAAAGATGGATGAATCACCAGCGCAAGTACAACCATCACAACTGTACTTCCTCCAGTGTGCTCACTTCATTTGACAGCATGTAGCACAGCTGTCATCTCTGCTAGATCATCAATGTACCTCTGAAGATTCCATCATATTTATGGCCTGGTTATGTAATAGGTGTTCAATAAATACTTGAGTTAATGAAGAAAATTAAACTCACAAGTTTATCGATCTCACAGACTGGTGATGATAGACAAAGAAAAATATGATTATTAGATGTTTAGGTCAGATTGGCAGCAGAGTTCAACTTAAATTTAGCCAACTTGTGCTAAAAATCTACTAGGGGGCCAGGCACTGTGTCATCTATAGAGGATATAAAAACACCTGATAGTGCTTCTTCCTACAACACACTGAGATAAATGCACAAGGGGCAAATATAATAGGAATGGAGGTACCCACAAGAATTAACCCTGCCTGGATAAATCAAGGAAGGTATCATAAAAGAGGTGACTCGCTCTAGCTGGTTTGGCTCCGTGGATAGAGCATTGGCCTGTGGACTGAAGCGTTCCAGGTTCAATTATGGTCAAGGGCACATGCTCAGGTCAAAGGCTCTATCTCCAGAAGGAGGCATGCTGGAGACAGCTGATCAATGATTTTTATCATAGTTGTTTTTCTCTCTCTCTCTGAAATCAGTAAAAATACACATATAAAAAGATAAAAGAGGTAACTCTAGGAAGGAAAGAGGTGGCAAATGGAGAAGAAAGTATTCCTTTGCAAAGCCCCGGAGAGAGTGTGGGGTAAGAAGAACTTAGTATGGTTAGGGGACAACATGGCTGGTGAGAAGGAAGAATGTGAAAAAAATTAGGGAGAAATGAGGCTGGCAGAACAGCTTGGGAAGAGCCAAAATACCATGTAAAGAGATTCAAACTTAGTCCTTAGGAAGTGAGAGGATCTAGAAAAAGATCCATTTGCTATAAAGGAGGTAAAACCTAAAGAACTCAATAAACGTAAATTTAGTTAAAAATTATTTATTTCAAGTAATAAAAGTAAAGTCAATTTTAAAGAGCTAAGTGTTACCTTTCCATTTGTAAGGATTAACTTGAGGAGTCTTACTATATTTTTATCAGTTATTTAAAAGCATTTTAATATGTAAAAAGGAGAAAACTGCTCTTGAGGTTATTAAAACGACAACATAAAACAATGATTTTCAGGAGGGAAAGTGTGATGATATGAAGAGGAGGGAGGAGAAAGGAAGAGTAGAAGCCTATCAAAATATAGCCAGGGACACCCACACAGAGCCTGAAAGGATGCACTCAATACTCATTTCTGTAATACAAACTATTCATTCCACAAACTTCAGAAAGTAAAGCCTGAAGCGAAAGAAGAGAAAGCACTGCTGGTTGTGGTTAAAGCAGGCTAGGAAAGATGACCCCAAAGGACCTCTGCAGGGAAGGATAATACAAGTGGATATGGTGCAATTGTCTGATAAAGATGCCTGGCGCCTCACATGACCACTGGATGTTTTTGTTGGAAGAACTTGCTCACTCACCTCCATGCAGAAGCGCCGCTCGGCAGTTGGTAGAAACTGCAGCCTTGGCATCACTCTCAGAGAGCCCAAAGAGCAGCCCCCTGGGGGTCATTAAGGATTTTAACCCAGTCAGCCAAGGACAGGCCACTAACACAGACATAACAGGCAATGCCAGCTCACCTGGTCATACTGCAAGAGGGACGTTAATCCTATCGCAGTTTTTAGCCCAAAGGGAACATGCATTTGAAAAGAGGCTTCTTTAACTAAGCTTTTTAAATATAGTTCCTCATTCTTGTTCTCCTTTTTCTATCTCACCCTTAGTCCAGAAAACAAAAGGATAAAAACATCTAGAACCTGATGTAATTTGTTTTCGAAATTATTAATTGGTAAACTTATAGTAAAAAGTTAAGAGAAATATCTTGTTAAAGTGCATCATTTCAAATTCCAAATTTCATAAGAGAAAATTTCAATAACTTCTGACTCAGGAAAGGATACAAGTTTGCCACGTCATATGGACCTCTTATTTCTAAAGGCTAAAATAAAACAAACAAAAAAACAGACATGAGTGCTGCTATCCATAACGTTTCAATGACTTCATCTACAGTAAATTAATAGGATGATTAAGTATCCAAAAATAAGGAAGTCAATTGCATAAATTTAAGTTGTTATAATTTTTATTGTTTTAAGTTTCTAAACATATAAAAGAACCTTAAAAAGCATTCTATAATAGTCTAAAGAAAAAACTATTTATATAAACAAAACTTGAAGCCCAAAAGAAATGGGAATAGATTTTACTCCTCAGCAATTACAATGAGCAAATACAGTTAAAATGAAAACATGCAATAAACGTTTGTTATATTACTATTTTAATTTCTCCCCTAGAAACTGTTTCAAGCTTTATAGCCTGAAAAGCAAAAATAAAATATGTAGAGGTAGACTTACCCTTTCTGCAGCACTAGATATAATTACATTCTACAAAACAGAAAGTGATCAATATTAATCTTAGAGGTTTAAAAAAATTGAAGAGTCTTATAATATAAATAATCAGTATTCATATTTTACCATTTAAGGCTCTATGAACACCAACTTTTTTTTAAGACAAGGTAAATAATTAAAGTGAAAAAATAAGAAACCCTCATGTCAAATTAAAGGCAGCATATAATAAGTCTTCCCAACAGATCTTAGAAAAGATAAATTTGTCTTAAAAAACTAGTTGAGAAGGTCATATAACCTAAATTCAACTCACTGATGACAAAAATTTATTATCTAGACTATTCTTTTCAGTGGCTAACTTGCAAATTTTTTATGGAAAGATAAAGACTTTCAACATATCTTTCCCTTTCTCAATGAATCTTTTCTCATTATTTTCTTCCCCTTAAAACTTACAAGAGCTCATTGAAACAGGAGAATTTATTCCTGTGCCATGACAACTTTCTGCTTTAAGGAAAAGAAACTGCTTTGATAATCTAGTGGATTAATAATAAACTGCTGGATTTGAAAACCATCCTAAAATTAGGAAGCCATACCTTTCCTTTGCAGACTTGCATCAAGTTGAGGGCATTGGAAATGGTGTACCTTCTCATTGTGGAGTCTTTGATAGCTGGGCTATAGACAAGTTCAAAGCCCACACCTCGGTCAATTGCCTTCACAGGAAATAAAAATATACAGTCAAGGATAAATACACACTGTTTTTCTCTATTTTCACTCAAGTTCCCTCTCACCTCCCTCTATGCCCTCCACTGCCACCTCCTGCTTATTGAAGTATAGCTTTAAACAAAGGCAGATTTACACCCAAATAGCACCATCCACAGAAGAAAACAGATTTGTCTCTATCTGATCAACAGAGTTTATCTTAGCCGTGGGGAGGCTGACTTTATATAAACAGGAACCACGAAGAGGCTATGGTGAGCAAAGTCCCAGTGGGGTGGCACAAAGGCTGTTATTCCATGAACAACCAAAAGAAAAGATGTGCTCCCTATACTGAGGGTAAACTATTTGCAAACACAGTAAACCAAGTAATTTGACCCAAAATGAAAAAACAAAGAAATGAAGAGCTGAAAAATTTCCAAAGAACAGGGGTGGAAGGCCTCTTGGGTAGTCACTTATTAGATATCTGTTGAATGAAGGAGGGCAAGATAGCCATGGTTGAGTGTTATATGTCAGGCACTATGCTAAGAGTCTTATATATGTATTTAACCCTTATAATAACCTCTATAAGGCATCATGGCAGGGATTGCTAATTGCCCCTGATATACGTCCTTCCCTTTTTCTTTACTAATTGAGTCCCTAATTTTAAGCTGCGTTCATGGATGTCCAGCAAAAAAGAAAGGAGAGGGCTGGGCCCTTGATCTTGCCTCGCTCTCCAGGCGCTTGGCCTTTCACATGAGAAAAGAACTCCTTTCTTATTTAAGGCGCTGTGAAGAGGTAGGCATCTCCAGGTAAGAGAATGGCCTGGCAGTGGTGGAGATGAGATTGAAATTCACCACTATACTATTTAGCTTTTTTCTTTACCCATTCACAATAGACATGTTTTAAGCCAACTATGCATGGGACTGTTGAGAAAAAGATGACATGGTTCCTCTCTCTAGGAGCTTACACTTTAGTGTGATCAGATAATCACACACAAATACAAAACTTTAACTGTGATAAGTGCTACCACGCGAAAAGTCTGGGGTTGAGTGAGGAAGGAATTAAGCAGTTCAATAGTAGAGGGAGGAGCATTCGTAGAGGGAGGGAGGAGTACATGGAACGGCCCTGGGCTGGAGAGAGCATGGAAGCACATAAAGGTCATAGGCCAGGGAAGAGAATTAAGGGGGAGCCTTATGGTGAAGGTGAAGGCTAAAGAGATGGAAAGGCCAATGGTGCAGGTCTTTAGAACTGGTGACAAGTTAATCTTCTAAGAATAATGAGAAGTATCTAAGGTCTTCAGTATGAAAGCAATAATCAGACTTGCAATGGTAGTCACTAAGTACAGTGGTCTTTTGGACGAACCAAGGAAGGAAATCAGGCCCAAACCAAGTAGTATGGCCCAAGTCTCCGTCTGGCAAATGAGCTTGTATTACCCAGAGGATGAGTTGGGACTGGTCCACAGGTAACTGCTAGAGGTTTACTCCTGAGTGTGTGCAGGAAATGGAAAAAGCTGTCTTCTTCCAGAACTGGCAGCCACCTGGATTTAATTCAGCTGTACCTGGCAGGCTCCTTAGCCTTCCTGAACACAGATTTCCTTTTTAACACCCCACAATCCGCCCTGTCCTTAATCTTCTTGCTGCCTTAAGACTCCCAGATTTTATTTTGAATTTTCCTACGTATTTGATATTAGTTAGATTTTACATGCTACTTTCCACACTGTAATTTTCCCTTCTTTCCTTTTCTGGCAACTTTTCCCCACCTCTAATTCATTGGCGTTTCTGGGAATATGTGTTAGGATACACTTTGTGCCACAGTTAGATGTCCACCCCATTTTTCCTGCCCAGCTTGTACATCTTTGTAACTCACAACTGCCCTTTATACAAGTGTTTAATATATTTACAGTCTAAGAAAATAAATCGTAGTTTATGAAAAAGAGGCCATGTGATAATGCTGATAATCCATCATAAAAGAAACCAGGATGAACTTGGCAAATTGAAATTCAGACAAATCAAAGAAACTTCCTTTAGCCATATTCTCAATTATTCCCCTAGCTATTTCTCTTAACAAAAATACTAGTTAGCCAGAGGATGCCATATTTTTTTTTCTCATCTTTCTAGTTGCTGAACTAAAACACAAGGCAGTGGAGTGGAGAAGAGGGGAAACAAAGGATGTAGATGACACACAGAACTAGATGGCCAGGTGCCTAAGCTTTCTTCATTGTACCTGAAATCCCCCCTCCCCGCCCCACCTCACACCATGGGGACCAGATCAAAATTAAACTTTTATTTTTGAGGGGGGAGAGGAGAGAAAAAGGAATATAATTATCAGCTTAATTATTTTTTAATAACAAAGTTCTGATTTTGATCTCAGTACATCAATCAAGCTTACTTTAAAGTTGCTAACAAAACTGAGACAGAGAAATGAAAGATAATGTGATACTGAAGGTTGTGAACATTCCTTTCATAACACTTTATAAATTGTTAGGTATAGTATAGACTCATTACCAGGTCTCTTGCTTCTAAGACCATTTTAATGAAAATTGCCTTAAGCTCATCAAATGATTGTTCATAACAGCCTTTCATAAAGAATGACAGTGCCTGCATGATTGGCTTTTGTTCACTTCTCTGACCAAAGGTTCTAAAAGAGGGAGATTTCTTTACTAATGAGAAATAATGTGGTAACGACTTTGCAAACCAAGGGCAGATGTGTGATACTTGAATCAAGAGATATTGATGGTAAAAAATAAAAAGACAAAAAAGATATATTGATGGTAAAATTCCAAGAACTAAACTTAACAGAATGAAGGAAGAAAGAAAATAGGGAGTTGATTACTGGGTCATTACCTGAATTCCCTGTTAATTTCATAAAAATTAGTTATTTATTGAATTCAAAGGATGACACCCTTGGTGTATCACTCTTTAAAACAGGTAATTTGTGCCCTAGTCAATTTGGCTCAGTGGCTATAGTGTCAGTCTGCAGACTAAAGGGTCCCTGGCCCTGGTGGGGGTGCATGCAGGAGGCAATGTGCTGACTAACCACTGAGCCAAAATGGTGAGGGCTATCATTAGTCGTTTAACTTTATTTCTGTGGGGTTTTTTTGCTATGCAAAATTTTGATGCTGGCAAGTTTGCTGGCGCTGGCCCAAGCATTAGATCAATGAAGTACTTAACACATTTCAGTTCCCAATATATGTGTGATAAAAAATAAAGTTTATAGAGCACTCACACCCAATCAAGTATATATGGCATGAGGACTGGAACAACCTCACTGCTTCAGACGCTATTTACAGGACATCTCTCAGTGGGGACTAATTGGATCATGAAGATAAAAATTGATTAGGGTTAAAGGAAGTGTTGAGGGGAAAATATCAGAAAGAGAGCATAAAACATAAAAACACCAAAAATACACTGAGTGGCCAGATTATTATGACCACCCCATCAGTACTTCATTGGTACATCTTTTGCCTTCAATACTGCAGTGATTCTTCTTGGCATTGACTCCACGAGATGTTGAAAGGTGATGCAAGGAATCTGACACCATGCCTGATGAATAGCACTGTCTAGTTCTGTGAGATTTGATGGTTGTGGAACCAGCTGCCTGATGGCTCTTTTAACTTCATCCCACAAATGCTCAATTGGATTGAGATCTGGTGATTGTGGGGGCCACCTAAGCAAGGTAAATTCTCCCTCATGTTCTTGAAACAACTCCTGCACAATACGAGCACCATGGCACGGCTCACTGTCTTTTTGGAAGAAGCCATTTCCTCTGGGATTCGCCATCAACATGATAGGATGAACTTGATCAGCAACGATACTTAGGTGTGTTGTGCTATTCAGATGTTGTTCCACACGAATTAAAGGGCCCAAATCATGTCAGGAAAACATGGCCCCATAACACTGCCCCCACCAGCTTGAAGGGTTGTACTCATGCATGTGGGGTTCAGGCTTTCATGCTGTTTCCGTGAAATTCTCACTCTGCCATCTGCATGATGCAACTGGAAACATGATTCATCAGACCATATGGCTTTTTTCCAATGGTCAACTGTCCAATTCTTGTGTTCCTGTGTGAATCGGAGACATTTTATCTTTGTAACTGCAGACAGCAGTGTTCGAACAGGTCTCCGGCTTCCATATCCCATACGATGCAGTGCACGGCTAATTTGCTTACCAAGGTCAGGTGGTCATAATAATCCGGCCACTCAGTGTAATATACTTGAAGTCATTGTTGAATGGCAATAACATTGAAAAAACATCAAAGGGAAAGTAAAGGTATGTGCTGCTTAAGAAACATTCTCAAAATCTAAATTCACAAAGATTGTTTTAAAATATGAAATTATTGTGTGCTTAAAGAGCTCTGTTATAAAGTAATTTCCATAGTATTTCCCATTAGTGGAAAATGACAGGAGGTAAAATAAAAGCTTGAGTACAATTGCCAAGGCAAGACTTTGGGAGAGAAGTCTATCTGTGTGAGTCACACTCTACCTAAGTTTCAATTCCATTAGTAGAGTAATTCAAATCTACCTGACCCTAAAGCTGCTGGGCTAGAGTAAGTGTAAAAGTGGTTAAACTATAATTATTAGAAGTCATTTGATTATCTGAGGAGCTAATTTCCATTTTTTAGAAACACAATTATCACATAATAAATGCATGTGACTCCCATACTCTCTAGACCCGTGGTCGCCAACTGGTGGTCCACGAGGTCTGAAAGGTTGGTGGCCGCTGCTCCAGACTCCAGAAGAGGTTTGTAGGATCTTTAGAGGGAATTACAGCATTGAAACTATGGTGCCCCAAGCATGAAAGATTACAAAAGGGACAAGAGCTATGAATTACTACACAAGTGAAGTGCCTTTGTGTACCTGAGCCCCCTTCATAATCCCAAACTTCTAAGCTGACAATTCGTGGCTTCTAGCCTCTAGGTAAAAAGACTAATGAATTCCCTGTTTAAATCTCCCACTTACCACCACCGTAGAAGCAAAGAGCACAAACCCAATCCAAATTAAGATACATGTGCATAATAAAGGGATCCTTGGAAAGCCAGCCTATCATCTTTTCATGGCCAAAGACAAGTTCATCTTGAAGGCCAAAGGAGCAGGCAAGGACCAAGACTTAAGGCTGAATTGTTAACCACATTCACTCTGTGTTCTGTGTTTTCATGGTGAACATACTCTCCTACACACACAGCTCCATATCTGGATTAGATATAATCAGATACAAACAATACATACACAGCTATACAGCTATTAGTTTCCCTGAACAAGCAGCTGGATACCTCTCACCATATGTTTCCAGCTTCCTCTCTCTTAAATGGGAACTAGGTGAATAAATTAACAGGGACTCTTCTTCCTGACCAGTTCACACTGCAGCCTGCTTCTACATTGGGTAGACTAGAAATAATCTCGCGCAGTCCTTCTCTCCACTCCCATCATCTAGTTTTTATTAAACAACATATGTAAAATGTTCACACCAGATTTTTTAAAAAGCAGACACTGTGTTAAATACTGCATATCCCTCTCACTTGTCAAATTTTCACTTTTCAGAATTCTTAACTTGAAAAGTGTGGGAATTAAGACAAAAATACCATCAAACAGCAGCGGCCTTCCTGAACTTACAAATGAACTGGGGGGTGGGTTGTCCTACTGCTGCTGCCTCCTCATGGCAGCCCAGTGCCCCACTTCCCTCACCTGCCAACACTGACTACCGGCTAATGACTCGAACGAGCAGGATTTGGCAAGGTTCCCCAAGCTGCACTCTGACACGCTAGGCTAGACACATATTCACCCAACTGAGAAGTTTCAGGGGGGACCCGGGCACGATATTGGGATAATTTAAAGAGGATGCCCATGACACACCGGGTGCTCTCTGGAAGCTCACAGTCTGGGCTGGACAAAGGGTACTTTCGTAAGAAAGCCCCCACCAAGCAGCCACTGGCAAGCTCACCCTATGTGGAACATAAGGAATCGTGTTGCACTGCTGTCCATTCTATGGATCTGGCCTCAGCATCATGGGCTCCTATTTTCTCCCAACAAGGACACAATACTGTATGTGGGCTGACCCAGGCAAAGCCATCTAGAAAATAGCCTTCCTAGCTCATTAAAGTGAAGGAGAAAGGTAAAAGGACTTTAAATTTAATGGCTGCACTGGCTAACTCCAGGGGGTGCCATTTACACCGCAATGGGTTGGCAGCGTGAGGCTCTGGCAGACTTCTAGAGCCAGAGATTGCGGCCACTTCGGGAGAGGCTGCTGTGGCCCTGGGTGCTGGAGGGGGCTGTGCCTTTTATCACAGGAGCTGGGGCCTGGCGGGGGGCTCACATGTCAGAGAACCAACAGGACGGTCTGGACACTGTGACTGAAGAGCTCAACGGCTTCTCCTGGCCAGTCTTCATTTCTCCACGTCTGCTAAGTGGGCCGTGAACACAGATCTCCAGCTCTTAACTGTGATGAGTCAGGCGTTCTGTTTTGTTTTAGTATTTACTTATTTATTTATAAGCACTGGCAAGAATGTGGGGAAATGATGATTTGTGCTTAAGCAATACTGTTATATGTTCAGTTCTCCTCTCAATATTTATCAGAAAAAAGCTGATACGACTTTAACATTTTGGGTACTTTTCAAGTACAGTTTTAGAAGCATATTTTTAGGGGCAGAACATAAGCCAACTAAAATTTTTACACACTGAATTCAATTTTTCCGCACCACATAGACCAATTTTCTCCTCATTGTCTCCCCCTATTCTTGGATCGAGCCAATTCCCTAGCAGCAGAGACAGGAAAACAACTTGAGGAGGCTCTGATTCTATAGAAACAAAAGAATAGGACAGTCCTCTACCTTGAAAAAACAGATTAAATTTTTAATTTTCCAACTCTGACAGGATTAGGTATATATCTGGATTGTTTATTAAACTCTCTTGCTCCTTCCATAATACTCTCTGAGAATGGGAGACTAAGCTTTGGAAGCCACTCTTCTAAAATAGCATCCTCCCCCTCCCTAGGATCTGGCTGCTAACGCAAGCAGTTGTTAGTGATGTGAAATATCACCTTTATGATGGAATAAGACTCACAAGACGGCATGACAGATGGGAGAGGAAGGGTAGGGAAAACAAGAGAATTATGTAGAAAGGTACCCTGTAGAAAAGTACTGAAGAAATTTCTATAGCAGAGAGAGGAACAAAAAGTCCCCAGAATGCAAGGCTCCCCCCTTAGATAATTACAAAGGTAACTGGGCTTTTGTGTTAAACCAGCATGCGTCAGTGCAGCTTTTCATTGCTCATGGACCATGCCCGCTATGCTTTCTATGCCCTTCTCCAGCACACTGGTGCCTTGGGGATCTTCAACATTATTTCCCTTCCCCTTCTTTCTTGACTGCTCTGTCCCTAGTGTTCACTATTTGGGCAAGAAAGTGTCCAACACTGTTAGCTTTCCTTCCAAGAAATATCCTTCATAGATTTTGATTTTTAAGGCCTTTCAAAAACATCTCTATAATTTACCGAATTTCTTTATTTTAAGCTTTCTTTCCTCCTTTAGTCATTTTACAACAATAAAAATCCTGTTTTTAAAAATGCTATTTAGCCCTAGCTGGTTTGGCTCAGTGGATAGAGCGTCAGCCTGTGGACTAAAGGGTCCCAGGTTTGATTCTGGTCAAGGACATATGCTCGGGTTACAGGCTCTATCTCCAGTAGGGGGCATACAGGAAGCAGTCAATCAATGATTCTCTATCAACATTGATGTCTCTCTCTCTCTCTTTCCCCCCTCCCCCCCATCCCTTCCTCTCTGAAATCAGTAAAAATAAGTTATATACATAACCCAATGCATGAAGATTCGTGCAAGAATGGGCCTTCCTTCCCCTGGCTGCCAGCACCACTTTCACTCTGGCCGGAGCATCCATTCTGCCTTCCCACACTGCCCAGAGGCCTGGAGCAGCTGGGTGGTGCAGAATGCCTGTGTCATCGCCATGGCAACAACACAAATGTCCTGCCCTTGGCCGCTCCCACTGGTGTATGCAAATTAACTTGCCATCTTTGTCAGGTTAATTTGCATACCTACAGCTGATTGGCTGATGGGTGCCACAAAGGTGCAGACAATTAGCATGTTACTCTTTTACTAGGTAGATATTAAAAAAAAAAAAATGCTTATTTAACCCTAATCGATTTGGCTCAGTGGATAGAGGCATTGGCCTGTGGACTGAAGGGTCCCAGATTCGATTGCAGTCAATAGCAGGAACCTTGGTTGTAGGCTCAATACCCAGCCTTGGTCGGGTGCGTGTGTGGGAAGCAACCAATCAATGTGTCTCTCTCACATCAATGTTTCTCTCTGTCTCTCCCCGTCCCTTCCACTCTCTCCAAAAATCAATGGCAAAATATCTTTGGGTGAGGATTAACAACAACAAAAATGCTTATTTATCACCTAGCCTTTGTTTTTCTTCATCTAAGAGCACTGGTTTCTTCTGCCCCTTGTCCAGTTAATCAAGTTTCTACAGATTCAAGCATAGAAAGGGAAGGATAACACTTACCACATTAATAGGGGGTCTTCTGAAGTAAAATGGTAGCTTCTCTGTTACAGTTATGCAGACTAAATCCACATCCAGATGTGTACAAGCAACCTGTCAGGAAGAAAAAGCAGGTGAGCTCTTTCTGTGGCTCCTTGGAGGGGGGCGGCTGCTTCAGGATGAAGCTGAACACCTCTTTCCCAGGCACTGGCTACCAGGGACTCACTGAAGCGGACGATAAATGCAAACGTCTACCTTTTGTGAGACGTTTATGGCACAGAAGTTTTTGCTGATGCTCAGGATGAAAAATGGAAGGAGGAGTTATGTGGTTTGAATCAGTGGTTGAGGACAAACAAGGTTTCCTCATGAAGCAGGGTGTCTTGACCCATTGCTGTATCCACCTGCTACTGTTATACACCAAGGAGGATTGGAGAGAGAAAGCACAAATCTGTTCGGGGCTGCATGTGGATGCCAATCTCAGTGCTCTCAACAAGGTCATTGTAAAAAAAAAAAAGATATCCTGGTCTCACTGATACTGTGCCTTGTCATCTGGGGACCAAAAGAATAGCAGAATCCACAAACTACAAAATTTCTCAAAAGATGGAGCTATCTGCATAAATGTGTGAGAAAGCCCCTACATAACGAAGGTAAGAAACCTCGGATCAAAGCACCCAACATTCAGTGTCTTGCTACTCTAAGCATCCTGCAACACAAACGTCATGTATTGCTCTGAAGAAACAATGTACTAAAAAAGTAAATAAATAAAAGGCTGCAAAATATGCTAAACGTTTAGCTAAGAGAATGAAGGAGACCAAAGAGAAAGGCAAAAGAAAACCTGGCACATTAAGAATGGGAATGAGGCCAATTCGGATATAAAGAAACATAAATAGACATTGCTCATGCTAAAGGTGTTATGATGGCTCTGTGTTGAAATACAAAGCCCGTGGTCAGCCATTCCTGGAAGTTTGGCTTGAACGGTTCAACTGTAATCTGGTTGAAGCAGTGTGGTGTGTCCACTGACCTTTAACAGACAGGGCCTAGAGACCATCTGACTCACGGTCTGCTAATAAGGATGGGCTGCTAAGAGAGGCTCCATTTGTGGAAGTGTAGATTGTTCTAGAAAGGGAAAACTAACTGAAATCCAAGAAAAAAAAAAAAAAAAAAAAGGCCAAATGCTCCACTTTTCCTGTAAATCATTTATTTTTGTGCTAGGGATTGTTCCAGGCCTGTGGTTCCTACCAGACTACTGAACGGCTGAAGAAACAGGAACATGACACTACCAATGGCATTTTGTTCAAATACCAATGAAAACAATCTAAATAAATGGTCAACACAGAGCTGTAACAAATCAAATCATACTGAATGCATTTTTCAGATTTAATTTCTCTTTCCTTTCTTCTAATTTTTGCTATCATTTAAAGATCAACACATTGCATTTATATCCAAAAGAGATTTGAAACTGCTTACAAAAGCTGCTTGCAAGATGAAACAGGTAAGAAAATCAGGACAGAAGGAAAATAAATTTGAGGAAAGGTTGGCCAAAGATGCTGCTAGAAGATGAATGTCTGGCTTTGATTTTCCATTATTGGATTTACAGTGATAAAAAGAATTGGCTGTTTTGAATTGTATTAAACATAAGACACACTCACTGTGTTGGTATATACGGAATCCATGAACAAATTCACACTGCCAGGTGGCTATGCTGACAAACCAACATCAGGGGCACAGACCAAGGGAAAGGACGGAGTAAGGAAGAGGAGTACAGAGGGGGTAATAATAGGGAGTTCTTCAGAATCCCCACTTCGGTCACTCCTACCCCCTCCCAGACTCCCTGGCTTTAAGACAGCCCTAGTAACTCAGTAAGCCTGGGAAGTAATGCTGTTTTGGCAAAAACACTTGGCTCATTAAGAATCTGTCCCATCCCAACTGCTACAGCTGCCCAACTCATAAAAGTCATTGAAAATTTAATAAGAATGAAGAAAAGCTCTGAATAGTAGATAATACAAGTTCAGCTTCTGTCCACCAGTTTTTAATTATCACAATGGCAAAGATAAAAATGTTCAGGAATACTCTGCTAACACAAGACGAAATAAACAGGTACTCACAAGATCCTTATATCAGTATAGAATCTTAAAAAGTACTTTAGCAATAGGTATCAAAATTTTAAGTGCATACACCAACAACCTCACTTACAGGAATGTACCGTATAGGTTCTAGAAATATATCCTATAGCAATATACTCTACAAATGCTCAGGGATATTAGTACAACGATAGTCACTACAAACTCCAATCACAAAAGACTAGATGTAATTAACATGAATCAATTTCACTTCAATATATAATTTATTGGAATTGCATATTACAATGGAATATGCTGACTCCTAAAAAGGAATGAGGTATACCTCTAACTGACATCAGGGACCAACTCCAAGATCTACTGGTCGGTGAACAAAGCATGGTGTTACATAAGAAGAAAGGAAGTAGGGAAGAGGTATAAAGGAAGGATTAGGAAAATAATATTCCTGAGAAGACAGAACTGTTAGGCAGTGGTTGCCTCAGGAGAAAAGGGAGAAGACATTTTAGGTAGGAGAAAAGTATACTTTCCAACGCTTATCTATTTGTACTGTATGAAGTTATTATCATGAACAGAAATTATTTTTCATTTAAAAAAAAAAGCGAATTCTTTTTTTTTTTTTTTTTTAAAGTCTGCTAAATATTATTCTCCAGACCAAAGCTAAATTAGGCTACTTATTATGTATTGGTCATTTTCTCCTCCTCCTATATAACTGGCTAATTAAAAAATACCCCTTGTTGGTATAAGAACATGCATTTTAATAAACTTTCAGGAACAAAGGCCAGCTCTACTTGGTTTCCTCTGATACCTCAAACTTAAAATGTCTCAAACTGAATTCTTTTGCTATTTAGCATTCTATTAATCCAAGATGTACTAACCTGAGGTTCATAAAAGGGACTTGGGGAGGACTGTGAACCCCTATCCTTCTGTCCTCCTTGTTTTATAAAATATGTGCATTTTTAAGAATATACTTTCCTTAAGTCCTCATAGGAGACCTTGGCCAAAGAAAAAGAACTGATATGGATTCATATACAACCTGCCAAAATCACTAAGATTTTAAACCATAAATATTATTTGTAAATACTTTAATCTTCTTTAATGATTTAGAAGTACTTTAATGTGAACAATGCTTTTGTTTTTATAGCTATCTAAATGTATCAATTGAAGATTTGGATTAATAGAAAGCTAAACAGCAAAAAAATTCAGTTTGAGACATTTTAAGTCTGAGGTGCCTCCTGCATGCCCCACACTGAGGTGCAATTTTCTAAGGAATGGATCTGAGCCTCCGATGTGGCTCAGTGGTTGAGCGTCAACCTATGACCAAGAGGTCAAAGTTGGATTCCCAGTCAGGGCAATGTCTGGGTTGTGGGCTTGATCCGCAGTAGTGGATGCACAGGAGGCAGCGGATCAATGATTATCATTATTGATGTTTCTATTCATCTCCCTTCCTCCTCTAAATCAATAAAATATATATGTATTTTTAAAAAGATTGTACCAGGCCCACTCCCAGTGATAAATTCAGAAGTAGGGCTAAAGCATCCTCATTTTAACAAATATCCCCAGCAATTTTGAAGCTGGCGGAGCCATAAGCACTGTCTTGAAAAATACCCTGTTCAAGAGCTGGAGGTACGGGCAGCATACTCTACAACAGCAGTTTTTAAAGGGAAACAGGCATGGATTTTGGAAGCAAATAGAACTTTTATTTCCATTTACTTTTTTAAAATTACTCTCTTAAAACTTGTTCTGTTTTGTGTGTAAACTACCTTTTAAAGCACAGTTATAATGAAGTATGCAAATAATTTATAATAAAATAAACACATATATTTAACAAATCTGGTTAACTACCCACAGTCCTTAAACTACCATGGTTCCATCAATGAATCAGAATCTCCTGTGGAACTTGAAACAGATATCAGACTCAATCCCTAACCTATTGGGTCAGAATCTTCAGTGGTGAGGGCTGAACCCCCTGATTTTAAAAAGTTCCACAGGGATTGCTGATGAATATGTATCACTCCCCTTTACTGACCTCTTTTTCTGAAACAAAATTGAAAACTACTATAATTGAACATTTTATGAAAGGAGTAATCAAAAACAAAGTTATTCATAGATAAATTGTGCTGTTCCTCTACAGTAATATACATAGTTAAGAATTAATAAAAAAAAAATTGTAAGCCTGGGAAACTAAATTTACCACATAAGTCTTCTTTGTCAACAGCTCCATCTACTGGATAAACTTAGGCAAAATCTTCCTAAATACACTCTTGTGAAATTCCAGAACCATAAAAGAAAAATTCAGTTTCCAGACAGGGCAAAACAGATAATCTACAAAGGCATAATAATCAAGACTTCTTTTAAAAAATAATAAACACTATTTTCTTTTACTTAACTGTTACTTACATGAAAAAGTTTTTCTGTCTTTGGAAAAACTGCAACAATATCATACAGCCGGACCCTCGAAGAAGTTGCTCTCTAATAATAACAAAAGAATGTTAAGTTACTCTCTAGTTATATTATAAAAAAAATGTTAACAAAAACAGTACCCATGGGATTCTGCCTCTGGTTTGGCTGCACACCTAACATGCCACTGACAGTTTTGCTTTGCTTTGTATGTTGACAGAAAAGACTTTCTAAGCACATGAGAATCAACATCCATTCCACCAACCTTCTCTCTTCCTTCCTACAATTACACTTGAATCAAACATTGTGTTTGCGATACAAAAATCAAATTAGATAGCCCTTGCTTTTACAAACTAGTGGAGGAGTTTGTCAGACACTGAGAGCCTGCTGCGTGAAGGACACTAGGGGTACAGGATAACTTAAGGCATATGTCTGCCCTTCAGGCAATTCACAATTTTGTTGGGAGACAAAAAATACACTTGACTAAGTGTGAGGCAATTAGAATGTTAAATACAAATTAAACTGCTAGATGTGCAGGAAAACACCTGAGAAACCAAGGACAGAATGAGAGAAAAATAAGACAGCTTATCTTCTTCCCATTAAATGCTGAAATTCCTCAGGACTGTCCTAGACCTTCTCTTCCCACCTCACGCTTGGACCAGGGAGTCTCATCCACTACCATGAATTAAATTATTCTCCATATGGTGACCACTTCCAAGCCATTATCTGTTATTAGGATCACTCTTCGAAGGGCCATGCCTTTCCAACTGCCATTTGATAGGCTCCATTGGAACTTTTACAATAACCCACCGAGTCCCAAATATCATGCTCACAAAGCTGCTTTTCTTTGTATGTCCCGTCTCAGCAAATGGTACCACCAGCTACCTAACTGGCTGCCCGGGCCACACTAAGGCACCATCATCCTAAATCCAATTAACCATCAAATCCCGCCCATCCACCCACCCAGATGCTTCTCAAAGCCCCTTGATCCTCTCTGACCCATTCACTATAATGTCTGCTCACCCAGACCAATCTCCCTAACCTTATCTCAGGTTAGCCAGCTAAGAACACACCCAGAACACACCATATTTTCTTTGGCTTCAGAGCCTTTGCATAATCCCTCCTGTCTCTGAGAACACTCTCTCCCCCACTCAACATCTATATAACACTTACTGATTTTTCTGGCCCCAATTTGAACATCAACTTTCTCAAACTGGCCTCCAGAGCATCCTTTATTTACTACCTCCACCTTTTTTTTTTTTTTGCTATTTCTCACAGATTTAAAAGGACTGTGTCTGTATTATTCATAGCAATATCCCTAGCACCACTGTATGTCTCAATGACTAACAGTTGCCCAAGGACTCATGTATTGTGGTATTCCTGTACATGTGCCATGAGTGGAAGAGATTCTGTTTTATTATGTGAATTCTGAGGATGAGGAAAGCAGGCATGTGTCATGCACAGGGGTGGGGGCGTAAGAATGGGTTAAATTGAAAACATTACTCCATCTACTTAAAAGTCCAAAACGAGAGAAGAAAGGTAATTAACTTACCAAAACATTGCAGTGAGACGGATCCGAAACAATAATTGTCAGTCTAGTTAAAATTTTTATTGGTCTTGATTTTCCCTATAATAAAAAACATGCCATCAAAAAAAGCCCAGAATACAAATGACTGATGTTCCTTTTTACCAGTGGAAGCATTCATTAAAAAGATGCCAGCGATAGGGCAGTAAAGATCAGTAAAATTCAGGCTTCATTCTCCAGGAATTTATATTACAGCTAGAGAAAAAAAGATGTAAAACTACATAATGAGGTAAGTTAAAGGCTGTAGGACTTCTGGAAAGAAGACCACTGAAGAAGTATGGAATTGATAGTAAGAGAATGTTTCACAGAAGAGCTGGGTCCCGATGGAAAAGTAAGACTGGTAAGCAGAGGAAGGGGCATCGCAGGGTAGAGAACCATACATAGGGGCGTGTCTGCAGTGAAAGAATAGGTATTAGGCTTCTTCTTCTTTTTTTTTTTTTTTTTTTTTTTTAATATATTTTATTGATTCTGTACAGAGAGGAAGGGAGAGAGATAGAGAGTTAGAAACATCAATGAGAGAGAGTCATCGAACAGCTGCCTCTTGCATACCCCCCGCCGGGGATATGCTCGCAACCAAGGTACATGCCCTTGACCGGAATTGAACCCGGGACCCCTCAGTCCCCAAGCCGACGCTCTATCCATTGAGCCAAACCGGTCTCGGCGGTATTAGGCTTCTTAAACAACAAAACACCTACCTGTACAATTGGCAAAGTTGTAAAGAGTTCTGAAACAGCTACTGGTTTTTCAATTTCCTACAACAAATAATAAAGTTACCATAGATTATACATGTTAATGGGACAAAGCATAATGGAAAACTTACTAAGGGTTTGCAGAAAAGATAATTTAAAAAAAGAAATAAGAAAACTAATTTGTGGTATTCCGAAACACTAAATTAGCTTTTTTTCCCCCTTAAAAAATTAATGGAAGCTGAAGAGCAGAGAAACAACTGTAAATATCAATGGATAGGAAGGATGAAAAGTAGTTTTTAGACTGAAATAATCTGTAAGGAACAGTTGTTGGCCTAAAGAGAAATATACATTTACCAGTATGTTATGCTAAAGAGTTAAAAAATCAAATACTGTGGATTATAGTCAGTCAATAACAATGCACTTAAAAAAAAAAATGACTACTGAGTGACTTAATTAACATCAAAGTAACTTTAAGAATCCTCAAAGCATGTCTATTATGTCACAAAAAAGCTATCATTTGTACAAATATGCATCAACTCAACTAATATGAAATAAGAACAGTGCACAGAGAATGCATTTTTTTAATTGCAAGAAAATATGCTTATCTGTAGGTTCCATATTACCAATATAAATAATTATAAAAACTGGTCGTTGTTATTATTAACTTCAGAAATTATATTTTACCTGTTTCTTTTCTTTAAATTCAACAACGTGATTGATGGCAACAACTGAATAGCCAACTGAAAAGAAAAATGGAACATTCTTCTTAAATATAACCACCTCTCTTTCCTTTACCCATAGTCCCATCCCACTTCTAGATGTCAAGACTAGGAGGAGGTTCGCAGAGTGGTATGGGTTTGGGCGCTGGTGTCAGACCGTCTGCTTTCAGATCTAAGCATTACCACTTACAAGTTTCAGATTCTTCGTCTGTCAAAATGGTGATAATAAAAGAACTTAACATACACGTCGTGGGGATTAAATGAGTACATGCAGAGTGTTTTAGAACGGTGCCTGGCACTTAGGTAAGGTTTTATTTGACCTCTGTGACTTGGTAGCATGATACTAAACACCCTAACTTTGCGTGTCTCCTTTCTATCTATCATTCTCTTTCATATTTCTTTTTTCATTTTCATCCCACTAACTTTATACTAGTCAGCCTCACCTTTATTCTCACTCTTTTCTTTTGCTTTTTAGCCTATTACTTCCTCTTCAGGCCCTTTTCCCAAGGAGAAATGGAGTAATGATGCCCTCACACCAATGTCCACTTCTCTTTTGGAGCTTTCCACCATCAAGATTGGGAATTCTTTGAGGCCAGGGCCTTGCTCTATCAGCCTCAACACAGAGCACCATTCTGGGCATTAAACTACCAAAATTATGTCTAAATAATATTTTCAAGTTATTTTAACACTAATGGGGGTGGTAGTAATAATAGTATATGAAAATATAATGCATGTTAATGCCAAAATAGTGGGCCCCCTTCATCAATTTGTCCAACTTCCTTCTTTCCTTCTTCACTCAAAAATTGAATATCCATTCCACAACAGACCGTTTGCTACGTGTAGAGAACTCAGAAAAAACAGAAGATAAAAGAAACTTCCAGTACTTTGTGCTTCACCTTTCACTCGTTCAAATCAATCAAGCCCCACCAACATACCCCACCACCATTCTTCTTCTTCTTTTTGCTGATTTTTTACAGAGAGGAAGAGAGAGGGATAGAGAGTTAGAAACATGGATGAGAGAGAATCATTGATCAGCTGCCTCTTGCACACCCTCTACTGGGGACGTGCCCGCAACCAAGGTACATGCCCTTGACTGGAATTGAACCTGGGACCTTTCAGTCCGCAGGCCAACGCTCTATCCACTGAGCCAAACCGGTTTCGGCATCACCATTCTTCTTTACCATACTCCAAAGTCTGCTGTAAGTTTTCTCTGGAAACCTTTTGGCTACTAAACAATGTCTTTACTGTCCTTCAGAAATGTCAACTAGATTCAATTTCTCCACAAACTTTTCCTAGATTACTCATTTGGCATTTTAGGATTACTTTCCCAATGTCTCTGGAGTAATTTCTATTTATATAACTTGTTTCTGAAGCTTATTGGTTTCTTACATCACATCATAAACCAAGAACCAGGGATCTGTCTTCTTTATTCTTTGAAAATTGCCACGCACCCAAGAGCACTCATTTATCTTTACCTAAAATTGCAGTGACTTCCTGTCCTGTTAGGACTTCTTATTTAATTTTAATTATACACATTGGGTAACAATGTATAGACACTTGACCTCATCTCCTTCAAGAATATTTGAAAATTGAGGCAATTTTCTAAACAAGTCATCATTTTCTGTGTTTTTAAAAAGGTGTGCAGCTTTTTAATTTATTCCATAAGCAGTGAGTGAGCCAATCACTATCTGCCAGGGCTGCTGAGTGACTGTGCTGAGCACAAGAAATAAAAAGAATGAATAGAAAGACATGGCCGCTCTCTTCATATCATGATTCAGTCATTAAGGAAAAAGCATCCGGAAAAGCTTAACTGAATTAGTAACATAAACTACACCCAGAAAACTTGATTTTAAAGGAACCACCAAATAGTAACATTAAACGGCCCAGATCATCATGTCCATCGCCTTCTTTTTTTACTGGTGAGGAAAGTATTCTCAGAGAGAAAATGCTAATTAGCGGCTACAAAACTACAAGAAGAAATGGTGTAATCCACTTCGCCAAAGGCTGGCTGCAGCCAGCACCACCCTCTGACAAGCATCATTACCAGCTCTCACAGTGCTGAGAACTGAGGAACCCTGCAGAAACCTCTTCATTTGTAAACCCTTCTAGCCCCACATCTAAGAAGAAAACCGCAGCCAGGATTAGTTCCAATAATTCAAACCGGGTCTTATCTCTCAGGGCTTCCGCTTCCTTGGAGTCAAATAGGAATCCAGCGTTCTGGCCATGCTGCTTGCCCCCATCCCCAAATATATCCTCTCCCACCTACCCTTCCTATAAATATTATTCCAACGCTCGCAGCCCCCCGTTCCTCCCCGCTTTCCCGAGCCCCCCAGCACGCTCGGTCTAGGCACTGCTCGCGCCTTTGCTCGGACCCAGTCGTGCAAGGCAGACAAGAGGCGTGACAGTAAAAGCACGGGTGTAGGTGACACGTGGAAGCCCTGGCTTCTACATCCCATCAGCTACGGGGCCCTAAACAAATCCTCCACCTCCTCGTGGCCTCAGCTTTCTCCATTTGCACGAAAGGAAGAGCTAGACTGGGTTACACAGCTCCCCAGGGCCTTCGAATTTCCCGCGTGCAGGATCCAAACCACCCGTGGTGGGGGCATCGGCTTCCAGGGACATCCGAGAGACACGGAGGCCGGGCCTTGCCGGGTCCTCCCAGAACGTGGCCGGACAGTCTGGGGGGGCGGCGAGGCTGGGCGGGATGCCCGCGAGGCCACGGCGACTCACGGTGAGCGGCGTTCTCCACGAGCCCGCGCAGCGCCTTCAGGTCCGAGCCCGCTCGCAGGTCCAAATCTGCAAACACCGCCATGCTTGAGCCACGTGACCGCCCTGCAGGATCTGCGCAGGCGCAGGGCCCCCCGCTCCCCGAGGCATGCTGGGATTTGTAGTTTACTCAAGCATTTGGTCCCTCCCTTTAGTTGATTGTCAGTGAAGTTTCGCAGGCATTTGCTTCGCTTTCAAGTACCAAATGTAAAAATCAGTGTGTCGAAACCAAAAGCCTCACTTCACTCCTTTGTGTTATTCTGAATGAGAAAGTTTGCTTTCCCCAAGAGGTGTTCACAACTCCTACCATTCCTCCTATTAAACGGTAGAAAGTAATTCTTAGGCAATACAACTAAATAGCATTTATTGAGCGCCTGCAATAAACCAGAAACTCTTGCTAAGAGCTGGAAATGCTTAAAAAAAAAAAAAAAGACATAAATAACCCTTTTTCTTTCCTACATGTAAAGACCATGCTATTGTTTAAAATAGGCACATCGGGAAGAGGGGGAATCTGAGCTGAAAACCTCGAAAAAGATTGCCCTAGAAAAGCAAAGGATCTTTTTTTCTTTTTTCCCCCCAAACCGAACTGGCTGTGACATAGCACGGGCTTTCTATTACCAACCACAAGATGGCAGGGGTGGGCCTAGGTGAAGGGGAAGAGAGAGAAAGGGTACGAAATTGGAAAACAGTCATTGAGTATTGTACAGAAGGCCAGCCAATTTGCTAAGTACTTTCCTTACGTATTTCATTTAATTTTCAAAGCGAGTGAGCTAAGTGCTTTTTTTTTGGTATGTTTTTTTTCTTCTTCAACAAATGCATTTTATATCTGCATATTAAGTGAAGAAAAATTACTCAGGCAACTAAAACTTCTCACTGAAGGAAATTTATAAGAAATACATATTGAAGGCAAGAGAAAGAACAGGTCCTAAAAACAAAAGCTAGCATTTTTAAACATAATAACTATAAATTCTATTGTTCAGTCATACCTTGAGAATACAGCTAAGAACTCGAAGGATAAACTATACTTAAAAAACTAAATTATCTCTAGAATTTTCTATTGCAGCTGATAAGCAAGTAAATATATAAAAGCTGTATTGTTGAGAATTTTGACTTGACTAGATTTTTGAAATACTGCTTAAAAATGGTACATCATTAGGAAGTAACTTATTTTTGTGTATGAAGAAGAATTTTAAGAATTTTAAAGTTGTCTTGTCAGAATTGGTAACCATGACCAATTCTACTGGGATCAATGTTAACGGCAGACTTATACAACATAAACACGATGTGGCAAGACTTTGGCCAATTTATTGTACTATTAACTAGAAATGACTTTGAGCTCAAAACCTAAAAACTATATAAATAATAGCCATGGTAATTAAGCATGCCTCACACACGGTTCATATTACAGTAGTGGATGCTGAGGGAATTTTGAACTGCCGAGCGATACTCTTTTACTAAGCTTTCCATGGAAGTTCTCTCTGTGAAATTTGTATTGAGTAATGCCCTCTAGGGGGCGCGCATGTACCACTTATATTCCAGAATGGGTAGTATAAAAGACAGTTATAAAATAAATATATGTTCTTGAATCTATCTGTTCTTTGTTCATCTTTTTAAAAAACTTACATTTAAAGATTATATTTCTTTTGTAAAGGGAATGAAATTTTTCTAAATGGAAGAAACCAAAGAAAAAAAGGCACATTTTAATAGCTAGGAATAATGTAAATAAAAGTAGCATAATTAAAAGGCACATGTATCTAAATTAAAACTCACAATTCTGAGTTTAAGCTGAGTAATTGTTTAAAATCATGAATGACTCTTGGTTATAGGCCATTATTCTACACTACTCTCCCTCCTCCCCCCAACAAATGTTAACAAAACACCTAGTATGTAGCAGGAATAAGAAAACATACCTCCTTTGGGAAGTTCATAGTCTAATAGGGAAGACAGTCATGTAAATGGAAAGCATAATGCAGCTCTAGGTGCTATAATAAAGATTTGAAAAACTGTGCTTTAAGAGTCTGGAAACGATTGTATTAACTATGGTGAGAGGAATTGTCACAGAGGAGGTAATTCCTGTTTGTTGGACTCTTTTATCCAAAGTAGGCCACCCCAGAATTTCTGTTGACGGATCTCGGTCCTAAGATGTGTGTTCTGTTTCTATGCTACTGCTCTGTAGCCCGACTGGCAGCCACAGGGTCATGTTCGGGTGTTTAGACACAATAATCTTAGCACTAGTTTTCCTAGACTTTTCTCATCCAATTCTGGGGTCTTTTCTCATCCACACAATTAGTTTAGTTGAGTAAGGCAATGGGAGGGTTAAAAAGTGAGCATCTAAACATTTTTGAGAAGTAAAAACTAGTCCTATAGGAAGTCAGCTACATCGTCATTGGAAATTATTGGAACCCCAGCCAGCATGACATTCGTTTGCTTAACTGACTAGTGAGTTATTGATTCCTATGGAATAAAAAGCTTTATTTTACCTGTGCTTTTTAAGTAAATCTAGATTGTCAGAGTATGCTGGTGTATGGGAAAAGAAACTCTCTTATGCGTATGTCCTATAGATAGAAATGGATGGTTTTCTATAGACATGATTAAGCACATGCATTTGGATGGGCTAGAGGAGTACTTGGGATAAAGAAGAGCTTATAGAAAGCAGTTCCTGTTGTAGGTTATGCTCTTCTGTACTCCCCCAGAGCAGTTTTGAGAGGAGGATTGCCTGTTGGGAGATTATATCACAAAACTGTAATTCTCAGGTGCCCTCATTGACAATTTAATGAGAATGTGGGTTATACGCAACGCAAATCTAGACAAGGTTTGGTACTTTTAAAAGCATCAGCTATTTTTTAAATGAAACGAACAAAAGGGAGAAAAATCTAAAAACATGGTTTGATTTAGATGCCAATATGTCTCTATCTCCAGGGTAAGTGCCAAAGAGGGGGTATGTGGGTGGGGGCTGCAGGTAGGGGGTGATGGTAAAGGAAGCAACACCTTTATATGGATTTTAAAACACCAGGAAGCCAAGGGCAAAACAAATAAAGAATTCAGATGAATGTTTAGGTATTTTATGAGTACTTTTTGTGAAGCTGTTATTTTTAGCTTTTTATTTCCAGAGAAAATTGTGGAAAAGTATACACAAGATTTTAGCATTTTTATGAAGATAGGACTATTTGTTAGTCAAAGTTAGAGGGAAATGGAAAGAATTCCAGATTGTTCTGTCAGGATTTTGGAATAATACAATGATAGATGAAATTTAAACTCAGCATGAGCAAGGTAATGCTGCAGATGCTGAGATTTTCAATAACTATGTTTATACATTGTGACAGCTTATAAATTAAATCCTAGAACTCTTAGGAAATACACCCAGTCATCACCAGGGATAATAGAATAAAGGTGATTGCTCTATAAAAAGGGGAGTTTGAACCTGATGCTATATGGAAATGGAAAAAGAAGTAAATGTGAAAGTAGAATTTTTCTGAATATTTGGTAAGTTTGTATGTCCTGCAATCAGAATACAAAAGCAAAACAACATCAGAAGTTGCTTTGAAATATAAGTGGGTTGGGTAAATGCTGGTAAGAGTTCAGGTGAAAATTATATAAAATGTAGATTCAATTAAAAATGCATCTATTGCTTTTTAAGTTCTTTGTATAATTAATTAATGTGGGACATTATTTATTTATTTATTTTAAATATGTTTTCATTGATTTCAGAGAGAAAGGGGAAGAAAAAGAGAGAGAGAAACATCAATGATGGAGAATCATTAATTGGCTGCTTCCGGCACGCTCCAAGCTAGCATGTGCCTTGACCCAGAATTGAACCGTGACCTCCTGGTGCATCGGTCAGTGCTCAACCACTGAGCCACGTTGGCCTGACTGGAATATTATTTAAAAGAGACAAGCTGACCTGATTATTCCAGGGGGAAAAAATGAGAAAAGTCAAAAGTATTTTGTAAAATTTATTACCGTGGGAATTTTAAGAGGCCTTGAGACAATTCCAAACCTCAAAACCAAAAAATGAAGACATTTCAATGCAGGCATGAACAATCCTGGACAAGTCATTCAACTTCTGCTGGCAATAGGTCTCTATTTCCCTCTCTTTATTGGACAGTCAACAAATGGTTTCTTTTAAAAAAATATCTTTATTATTTTATTTATTTATTTAATATATATTTATTGAGTTTTTACAGAGAGGAAGAGAGAGGGATAGAGAGTTAGAAACAGTGATGAGAGAGAAACATCCATCAGCTGCCTCTTGCACACCCCCTACTGGGTATATGCCCGCAACCAAGAGTACATGCCCTTGACTGGAATCAAACCTGGGACCTTTCTATCCACTGAGCCAAACCGGTTTCAGCAACAAATAGTTTCTTAAATGGCTTTTGACTACAAACTAGTTTTCTTTTGTCTGAAAGGATGTTTAATATTAACATAACCAAGGTTGAAGAAATTTCCTCATCCATCTTCTTAAATATTCAATAGTATTGCTTTGTGGCTTACATATTATCATCTACTCTTCCTCTGACTCAATATATTGATCTACTTATCCCAGGCAGAGGAGAGCCCCTGACATTTTCATTAATATTGAGAGAGCTGTGGACATTGTCCACCTTTTAAGGATTTTTCCTACGTAAATTTTTTTTAAAAAAATGTATTACCATTTGATGGCAATAGCAAATGTGTTTCCTTATCTGGATGAATAGGGCTAATACCTACCTTGAAGAATGAGCGTATTATTCAGCATTCAGATCAATACATTTTGAGGTTTGTTCTTTTCATTTACGATCCGCTAGGGCCTAACTAGAAAAGAAAGATTTAATTATTTAAAGAGTCTTAAACTAAAGAAATCACTGCTGGCTTCCAAAACAACCTTGAAACAAAATGACGTAAGTCTCAGGAATAATAAAAATCAGCCACTCTTGACAGGGTTTGAGTCCCAAGGGGATTTTCGGCCATAGGCACTAAATCAACATACTCCTCCAGGATTCTTCTGAAGAACATTGTAACAGGCCATCTCTGCGTCTCTGTACCACATTTCCAGGATGTCCTGGGAAAATTAACCCTCCTTTCAACAGA